GATCAACAAAACTCTTTTATGCAAATCAGTTAATTGTGATTGAGATAAGATAGAAGTGAGTGTATCTTAGTTGGTATGATCCATAAATCCTATTGACTTTATATAATCTTTGTTTTTAAATTAATAATGCATAATAATCTCTGAGTACCTGATTAACATGATGAAATTACTTAACAATTAATTCCATTCTGGATCATGAATGGTAAACACTATTTAAGTGAAAATAAATTACAGTAATCACTGTCAACTTAGGTATTACCATGAAGAAATGAGTCCTATAATTAATAGTGCAAACAGTTCTCGTTTTAAGTAGATGTAAAGGAAAGATTTAGTGAAACATTCTTGAGATTAATAAATAATTCAAACTTGAACTCATAGATATGCTAACTTAAGTTGAATTTCCACAGTAGTGTGAAGCTGGATGATTTGTATTCGAAGAGGGGTGTTAATGTCACAAAAAAGATGTGATTAAGATCATATAATAAGCTACGCCAAGCTAATCTTTGGTTGTTTCCAGTTGATTTTAGTTAATGACGCAGAAATATACATAGGTTGATTAGGGGGGTCCTTTGGAAGAACAGTCTATTTGGTGCTAATGTTACAGAAGTTTCCAATACTGATATTATGACAGACTAGAAAGCAGATTAGTGGTCAGCGTTTTTCACGTAATTTGTCTATCAAACATCATGTCATTACTATAGTATTACTCAATTTTAACCGAGCGGTAGAATGCTAGCCAACCAAGCCACATGTGGTCCTGGGTTCGATCTCCAGCCGATGCACTCCTAAACCTCATTTAGCCAGTAGTAACTCCGGTAAAGAGGAAAGGTTGGGCGAGGCTAGCAACCTCATCCTGTAAAATAAACACTGCTACAGAAACTTCAAGCCACTAGCTTGAAGCCCTATGTTCCACTGGGGAACGTAAAGGAAAAAAATAAAAATAAATTCAACCTATGTATGAAATGATAGTTGGCAGTTATCGGTTGTAGGGAATGACTTTATATGTTATGTATATATAAAGCTACGGATCCGATTCGTCTACATTCAGTTTTACCAATTAGTAGTTATCTTGAAAAGTTCATTCTAAGTAACAAAAAACATAAACTACCCTTTGATACGATAGCTTCTTCAGCAGAGAAGGCTATCGCTAATTAACTACCACTTAAGAATGACCAAATCATGTAATTGAATGGTCAAAGGCTTCGGTCAAGTGTCAAGTGGACATTCTGTACTGATTCCTTTTTCTTAACGCCTCCAACATTTTTCCTTTCAGTGAGTACCATTAAAGGGCGAAATTCTATGAACTCTACTTCACAGTGTATCTGAAAGCTCACCTCCATTTAAGGGAACACTTCTATACATAGAACCAATAGAATATTCTCATGTCTTTGCAAAGAATAAGCTCCTAATTGATTATTAAGTCACAAAGAAAATCTGAAGGCACTCAACATGATTAGAAGTCCCGTGCCACCTATTGCAAGACGTCTACTAATGTTTGACCCTGAAATCAGTTATAATGATTGCTTCTCAATTATCACATACTTATTCGTATATAAATGATGGGAGGACTTTGGATCATTCACATGCATCCCAGACAATAGATTTCAACTTTTGCTTACACTCGACTACTTGACCTGTTAAAATATGACTGATTATTAATATCTTCCTTTTATGTTCTTCATAGAGTTAATAAGTTGTCAGATCTTATTAAAGAACTATTTTCAACGCGATTTTAGAGAAACTACGCAATGATATCGTTGTACAATATTTGTCCTTTGAATGGTACATTTAAATAACTGTATAAATGGCTAAAGTTTTGAGTAATAATCGGTTGTTTTTTCAGAGGAATAAACCTTGTCTTCTTGGCCTTTTGAGTTCTGTTGGAACAGGATTTGAGTGTTCTGCACTGAATCTCTTACAACGAGGAATTTTGGATGTACAACATCAGTTCTTACTTTGTAATGTATCAATTACTGATCAGAAATAATGTTTCTTCTGTTTTACTGTTACAACATCTATGAACACTAGATCCTGTCAAACTGCATTCAGTTGTATAGTAGTCATTTAACTGTTTCTTACACTGAATTTATATTCTATGTTCAATTTCCTCAGGACTGATTGCAAACTGTTATATTCAAGGAGTTTCGAAATTATGTTGTAGGCATTAACATGATTTTAGTATATCTATATTCAGGAAGAAAACCCTCTCCAGTGAATATTTAGACTTCGGATCATCACACCCCATCAGCGCAAAGGTATCAGTTGTTTCAAGTCTTCTTAGACGAGCACACTCTCTGATAACGGATGAGAAAGAAAAAGAAGAAGAAATATCAAACATTACTGAAACTCTCAAGCAAAACAACTACCCAAAGAACTTCATTAACAAAATCAACACTGATATCAAGTATGGTCGAAAACGTATTCCGAAAACATGGAACTCAGCAGTTGTCATTCCATATAGAACACAGACGTCAGACGATATCAGAAGAGTACTCAATAAGCTCAACATCAGAGTTTTCTCCAAAACATCAGACACACTGCAAAGCAACCTTGTCCATATAAAAGACCAAATCCCTAAAGATTCTCTATCTAATTGTGTCTATAAAATAAAATGCTTGGAATGTGATGCGAAATACATTGGAAAAAACATCGCGAGAAATCAAAATCAGAAGAAATGAACACCGTAGAGCATCTGTTCAACCACTAAGAAATCTAGTTGAACTAGAAAAACTTGGAAAATCATCAGCCATAGGTCTTCTACACTCTATAGAATCAGGCCACAAAACTGATTTTGACAATAATGAAATAATCCAGAAAAACTTCAGAAATCACAAAGAACGTCTAATATCATATCAAGTGGAATCCAAATTGTTTGAATAAGAACGATGGACTAAAACAGAATTTTACCTGGTTACCATCCCCCATGAAATGACAAAATCAACACGAATGTGATAAGCAATTTCACTATGTAAACACATGCTGCTTTTATAATTTTACATACTTATCAAATCCAACAATCTACACCTGGTTTTGTTATCTTTACCAATTGGCCAACTTGACAATGTAAAAATGACCCCATACTGAAGAACGATGATTAAGTTGTTATATATATGCTGAGATTTTGTAAATTCTGGTTTAATAATACTTTGATAAAGCTATTAGCATTGAATAGCGAAACGTCAGTAAAAAACATCACTATTGTTTTGTTTTTTATTCATTGGGAAATACAAAAACCTTCATTATAATGAATATCATATACCCAATGCCCAAAAGTTTTCAAACTGTTAAAAGTGAATTTGGTTTGAATATATATGAAGCATCCATTTAAAAAATCTTCAAAGTCTCATCTACATATTCTGTTCCTTCTCGTATTCTTCCCTTTTCTAATTGTAATAATTTTCTTTTCAGTTTCAAAGTGTAATGAAACAACCTCTTGGAAGCTTACAAATTTGTTTCTGCATTCACGATAACAATTAGTTGCCATTTACCTTAACGTAAGTATTCTTTCTCCACTTCCTTTGTGGATAGCTTTTCTTCCAATGACTTTCTATTATTTATTTATTATTGTTCCCTTGGGTTCCAAGTGGAACATAGGACTTCAAATGCACGCCTCCACTTGCTTCTGTCTTCTGCTGTACTTTTCACTTGCATCCATGTTAATCCATACTGTTTCAACTCCTCTTCACACGATCTCCTCCATGTCACCCTTGCACTGACGTCCCACTCGCCGCTTCCCTTTCGGCGGGTTCCACTCGAGGACTGGCCTGACGCGCGATGTCACCCAACGGCCTCCTCAGCGAGTGTCCAATCCATCTCCACTTTCTCCTGCATATTTGTTGAGCGATTGGTTCTTGTTTTGTTTGTTCCCATAGTTTCTTGTTGGTGATTCTTTCCGGCCATCTGATCTTCAGTATAGAGCGAAAACAGTTGTTGACTTTCTAGGTCTAATTTATTATTCTATTTCATGACAGATGAAATCACTGCATTATTGCTTATTATTTTATGTCGCTTCAGCGAGGGCATTCTGTGACATATTAACTCTAGTGCTAATCATCACTAGCATCTCATTCATAAATGGTTGGAGGTTAATCGACAGGAAGTCTTCGCCCTGGGTTTCGTGTACATTGGCACTCGTCAACAGAGGCATACTTTTAGCCTTAGAAGAACTAATGTTCTCTCATTGATTCGTAACCACATCACCTTTTGTTATAACTAGGCAAATATGATTAATTACATAGCAGCTAACATCTACTATACAGAAACCTGTGAAGTATGTTGTTATAGGAATAAGCTGAAAGAACAATATTTTATCAATCACACTCTACTGATTTGCGTCCAAAGAATCCGGAGATGAAAAACTTTATTTCACTATTAAAAGTTGTACAAAGCGGAAAGATGACTTTGTACACTTTTTGTTAAAAGTTAAAAAATGACATTCCTTCCTAACAGAACATTGTGGCTATCCCTATTTTGAAAGGGATCTTTGTTTATCTTATCTGTACAATTTTCTGAAGGTGCATCTCCTTACATGGCTGGAATAAAATATACGCCTGTTTACTTGCATTTCATGTCCTCTCTTCCTGTGGTTGCCTGGTTGGCATTATATTTATTAGCTTGTATCTTTTGGAAACTTACAAGAAAGTAACATTCTCTCTCCTAAAGTGTTTAAACAACCAGAGTGACAAACATTCAGTGGAGAACAATCCTTGAAAGATACGATGCGTGGAATAAATCTTACCACCCCCTACCCTTTCAAGTAGGTGCGTACCCTGAATATTTGTCATTCTTAATAAGTGTAATATACTGTTTGATTGTCTTTTGTTCCTTGGGTTTCGTCTGATGTTGCGTGGTGGTTACTGAGTCAATAATTAGGCCCACTAACAAGTGAATAAAACACGTACTATACATATAAATCTTTGTAATTTTCTGTACAATACTAGTAAGGGTTGTCATCGTAGTAGTGGTATTTACGGAATGTTACTCGCATATCAGGAATAAAATAGAAGGGAAATATAGAAGAAAGACTACTGACAGCTTAGAAAGAGAGGGGGAAAGGGACGATAGTGCCTACACGTTTCCAAGATGAAATGTGTAATCAGTTTAATTTCTTCTTCAATGTCACCATTTCTTCCCCATCTTGGTTCTTTCCTTTATTCTTCTTCTTCTTCTTCCTCTTCCTCGGCGTCATCATCATCGTCACCCTTTTTTAACAACAGAAAAGGTCATTCATCAGTAATAATTGTGCATTTAAACAAGTAAATGTTCATATAATAATAATATAATTACTACTTTGCATTTAGGATACTTTTTTTTAGAAATGAGTGCTGATTAAGTTACCTATTACACTGCTGAAGTACTTATGATCAATCTGTTCAGACGACTGCCTCAATGAGGAGCTTAAGATTATGAGAGAATTCCTTAGTAAAAATGGTTATCCTGATACGTTCATTGACAAAGATATGAATTCAGCACCAAAGACAGTCAGTATGACTACAGTTCCGAAGAAACCAATGTTCATAAAATTGCAGTTCCTTGGTGACAACATCGGCGAAATAATAACACAACGCTTGAAGAATGCAGTTAAAAGGGCTTATTATGCAGCAGAAGTACGTTGTCTCTTCAAAACCACCCGTATTCTACGTTCGAGAAATAAGGATAAACTACCTGAATTTATCTCCTCTATGTGTATCTACCAGTTTGACTGCAGCTGTAGAGCCAACTACATCTGGAGTACAATTAGGCAGGTTCATCGTCGTATTTCCGAACATCATCCAGTATGGTTAAGCAAGGGACAAACAAGATCTATTCGTAGTTCTGTTTTAGCGCACCCTGTTGATACTGGGCAGGAAGTTGATGTTAATACTGCATTTAAAATTATTTATTGCATTCCGATTAATCTTAACTTTGTTCTACGAGTTCGTCTTCTATATACAGCTGAAGCAATCGGAATCCACCTGAAGAAGCCAAGTCTATGTGTACAGAAGAAATTTGTACAGCCACTTTCCTTACCGTTGCCATCGTTACAAGACAGAACTACGTCGCCCCCCTCCCCCTAAACCTATTAAATTATAATTGTCCAAATTATTTTATTTTTATTTTGACCACTTCATCTTTAATTACGTGTTATTCTTGTAAAATTAATTTATTCTATCCATTTCTACCTTTTAAATGTGTATTGATTTTCTTCGTTAATTATCAACTCACTGACATTTTGACACTGTTTAATTACTGTTAACAAACATATCACCACTTGTTTGGTAAACTGTTGTGTATTGTAATAAAAATGCTATGTATATTAGAGTAGAGCCAGAGATGAGGATCTAATTGAAAAGTAAATATTTCTTCGCTCAATCTTTCTGTTTTTCAAATATGAAATTTCAAACAGCAGTAATTAATTATCTATGTCATGTTAGGCGATATATTTTCCCCACTTAAATGGACCTCAGAATGAATTTGAGGCATTATGGATGAAAAATCTAGTCCACTAGTCTATTTCGTAGTCTTCTTATATTTTAAGAAATCGTAGTGTTTGATAAGCTATCATAAAAGCAAGATGTCTGATAAGACTTATGTTTCTTGATATCTGAAAGGTGTTTACTGAATAATGCAACCATGTGATTATTACTCTGGAGGTGTTGAATTATTATCACTGGGCAAACATATAAAGTCTTTTTGATGTTACAACGGTTGCATCCTGTTTACAAATGCCATGGTAGTAAAACTGAGTGAGTTTGGCGATGGTTGTTTGCATTGGAAGCAAGCGTTAAATAACCAAAATTTAGAATCTTCTAACAGTGTTCACCAGGCTATGAGGAATCAAGCATATACCCTTTGAGTTTCATATTGAGCAACTAATCTTTCAAGCAGTCAGCTGAAGTTCGTCAGTTTATTTTTCACAATGTTACTGTCAGGGGAGATTATCATACAGTGAGATTAGTATAAGTCCGTCGTCGATTAATATTTAAATTACGGAGTTTAGTGCCAAGATAATAAATCTGTTGAGTGCTACTTGGTTTTCTTTAGTTCTCTTTGGTAATTTTTGGCATGTAGACAAAACTGCATTTATGTTTTGTTTTGTTTTTTTAAAACTTAAGACCACTTTATTGTTTCAATGAGTTGCCAAGAATTTAATCACAAATGATGTGAAATTGTTAAAAAAACATTATGCAAAGACAATAATTAATTGATTATTCAAATAAAGTGCATACTTAACGTAAACTTGATAATGAAAGTTGTACAGTAAAAAATGCAATATCACTGTGAAGACTTTAAAAAGTCAACAACCCTGAAGATAAAAATCTTAAGAAAATCATTTATCAGTATTTTGGAGGGTTGGGGGGGTAATTGTTACCTTTTGTCATTTTCACAAGTGACTAGATACACAGTAACACAGAGTGAAACAGCGTTAATTACTGGATGATATTTAGAGGACATTTGATTGCTCATAGTTATATAAATATATTTACATCACTTCTTAACTTGCTTCATATAGCCTTACTGCTTCCTATTTTGTGATTTTCCACGTAACTGAGATAGGTGGTGTATAGTTTCGATAGTATGTATTAAGCGATGATTTGATTCAGTGGTTCTCTAAGTGATGCCAATGCATGACGTAACTTGAAATTAATCCAATCCCTACAGACCAATACCTGAAAATTAATCTAGTCTTCCATTATGGATAAGATTTTATTTTGATAAATCACACAGTGTTGTAAAGTAATGTTAACTGATGACGTTTCGAGCACAAATTATTGCTAATGATCATATCAAGTTACTCACACAACCTTTTCCCTTCATTTATATACATGTGTGGAATCGATTAGATATTGTAATAAAATTCAGTATGAGATAATGTACATTCAGAAACTAACTGAAGAAAAGAACACAGGAAATGAAATTGATGTCAACGCTTCATCCTCTACTGACAGAACAAAGTGGGTGATCAACCTCTCATCAAGGGAACGAAGCTCTAGTGAGATAAAAGTACTTGAGAAAGGACTAAATTTCAACGTAACAGTTAGTAAATTAAAACCAGAGGATGTCATTCCTAACATAGAAGTAGCACTAGGTTCAATAGATAAGAAAACAGCAGAATAGGTTCGAGCACAATGTGCATTAACCCTAAAAAATCAAAAGAAGGCAAAATCAACCCTCTCCCACCCTATTGTGTGGTTGTGTGTTAATGCATGTAGTGCAATTGCTGAGAGGGTTAAGATTCTAAGAAGTAATCTGTGTTGGTGGAGAGAGAGATTAATTACTGAATCCTAGTTCATTGAGTCTACACCCAACACATGCAACAGAAGTGACTCAATGCAAATACCAGAAATATGGAAGATATTACTACCGCCAGTCAAATCAGAGGAGGATGATAAATAACCCTAAAATTCTATTTCAATTCAAGCAAATCACAACATTCTAACAAGTTATTTATTGTGACTATAGAAACACTCGTCGTCCTTATTTCCCATCTAACTGTAGTTGATCAATAACACACGTTTTATTATTTCTGAATGTACATTATCTCATACTGAATTTTATTCAAATATCTAATCGATTCCACGCATGCATATAAATGAAGGAAAGAAGTTGTGTGAGTAACTTGATATGATTATGAGCAATAATTTGTGCTTGGAACGTCATCAGTAAATATTACTGTGTAACACTGCGTGACTTATCAAAATAAAATCTTATCTGTAATGGAGTTATACTCTACCACAGTGCCCAAGTTTTATACTTATATCAATAATCTAGTCCTCATCAGTGACTGATCACTGGATGATGGTGTATGAATTTCTGGAGAGACATTGTGGCCAGCGGAGGCTACCAGGTCGTGTATCAAGACAAGCATCTGTGTTACAGATACCACACCACTACCTACAACTATTCTACGTTGAAAAAATGAATAGTAACAGAGTGAAGGAACTCTCAAAGTCATTTTATTCAGCCATGAGTGCCTATGCATTGCCTATTTTACCTTTCACTGATTGTATTTAGCTTTTGTTGGTTGCAGCACAATGCTATAGAACAGAGGACTTCAACAGTTGAATTTGTAATGGAATATAACCTGAAATCCAGTTAAGCAAATTAAGTGCTATATATGTAAGTAAATATTCTCCAGTAGTTATTTACAGGGATTTGATAGATTTCCAGTTTTGTCGTGAAGTGATTTCAGTTAGAGAACCATTCAAAAAACCACAGAGTGAGTACTGAATAGCTATTTCAGCCTTAATTGAAGCTGCTTAGTAGCATGTACCAGTGACTCTACCAAGGATCGAACCTAGAACCATCAGGCTACAAGGAGAGTTAATTGATCATCCGACCATTCAGATAGAAATCCAATAGTTCTTTGAGTGATGCCAGATCCTGATCAATCCTCAAATGAATAAATATTTTTTTCAAGTATTGGTTTTATAGGGATTTTGTTTGATTGGATGGAGAATTTCATAATGAGCTGACATCAGTTAGAGAACCACTGGGTACAGCAGGTTAAAGATGAGACAGTAACTCATCGAAGAAGACATTGCGAAATGGTCGCGCTATGTCATGAATTGGCAGAAGTCAGAATTCATGGACTGGCCATTGGATAGAATCTCAGTGGCTCAATGGTCTACGAGCTCGCCTTGTAACCAGAGGGTCCTGGGTTCGAACCCCGGTGGGTGCGTACTACTGAAGAATCCCAAACTAGGACGAAACAACCGTCAAGTACTCCCAGGTTTTCCAGTGGTTCTGTAACTGATGTTAGTTCATGATGTAATCCTCCATCCAATCAAATATTTTTTTATTTACTGTCATTTCAATACCTTAAATTTGTCTCATTTTACTCTTATTATTTTCATTTTAATATTCTTCGCACTATAAATCCTTTAATCTGACTTTTTGGCTTGCTGTCTTTCCAATCTCCGTACTGTTTGTTCGTGAAGTATACAAATAAGCCCTAAAAGACACGTCAATGAACTGTGCTGTTTTACAACAACAACAACAACAAAAATACTCATAGCCATTATAATCTAAACCTTCGTTTGTTTGTTTGTTTTAAATTTAAAAAGAACCCAGTGATCTGCATTTACCTTAGATAAACAAACTTTGACGTTGATTGCTGAACGCAAATAGCATATAAACATGATTATTTGTGATGAAAATAAATATATAAGTACATTGTGTGTTTTTTTGGATGAAAACAAACAGTAACCTGGATAATACA